ATCAGACAATGCTCCACAGCTGTTCATAGGGTTTTCTTGGCCAATGTTTTCGGAAGTCAGAGGCCAGGTCCTTCCTCCTAAGGGCTCATTGCCCTTGAGGGGCAACCTGCCCGGCTTGTCAAGGGAGCACAGAGCAGCAAGGGGCCCTCCTGGGCCCGGCTGGAGTGGAGGTAGCAAGTGCAGGAGTTGTAGGAGGGGAGATGAGAGCCGTAAAGGGGAAGGCTGATCTTGCAGGACCATCTAGACCATTGTAAGGACTCACTCATCTCTGAGTGAGCTGAGAAGCCATTGGAGAGTTTGTTTTCCACTAGGTTTTTTTGCTGTGTTTTTGGCACTCTTAATTTTTATATATATATATTTTTTTAAAGATTGGCACCTGAGCTAACAACTGTTATCAATATGCTTCTTTTTTTTCTTTTTTTTTTTTTTCTGCTTTTTCTCCCCGAATGCCCCGGGTTTATAGTTCTATATTTCCCAGGATCCGAACTGGCGAAACCCTGGGTCGCTGAAGCAGAGCGTGGGAACTTAACCACTAGGCCACGGGCCAGCCCCTATAGTATTTCAAACTTTCAGAAAAGTTGTAAGAATAGGACAAAGAACTCCCCTATACTCTTCTCCCAGGTCCATTAATTGTTTACATTTGCCCCATTTGTTTTACCATTTCTCTCCAAATATACTATAAAATATTTGTTTTCTGAACCATTTGGGGATAAATTGGAAACATCAGGCCCTTTGCCTCTGCTTACTTAGTGTATATTTCCTAAGAACAAGGACATTCATGATATAGTACTACATAACAGTACAATGATCAATATCAGGGTATTAAAATTGATATAATACTATTATTTAATCTCCTGTCCATATTCAAATTTCCTCAAGCGTTTCCATGATGTCCTTTATAGCTCTTTTTCCCCAATCCAGGGTCACATCTTGCATTTAGTTGTTATGTCTCTTCAGCCTCGTTCAGTCTAGAAGAATCTTGGTTGTTCTTGATCTTCACAGAAGATTTTGAAGGGTTTTGAAGAGTTCAGGAACTTTATTTTGTAGAATGTCCTTCAGTTTGTTTTGCCAGATGTTTCTCAAGGGTTAGATTCAAGTTATTCAGGTTATGCATTTCTGGCAAGAACATCACCACAGAATTGTTGTGTCCTTTTCAGTGCATCACATCACAAGACACAGGTCCGTTTGTCTCAATACTGAGACACGTGACTTTGATCATGTGGTTAAGATGGTGTTCGCCAGGTTTCTCCACTGTAAAGTTGTTTCCCCTTTGTAGTAATTAATATGGAATCTGTGGGAAGATACTTTGAGACTCTTTTTTTTTTTTAAAGATTTTATTTTTCCTTTTTCTCCCAAAGCCCCCCGGTACATAGTTGTGTATTTTTAGTTGTGGGTCCTTCTAGTTGTGGCATGTGGGACACTGCCTCAGCGTGGCTTGATGAGTGGTGCCATGTCTGCGCCCAGGATTCGAACCAGTGAAACCCTGGGCCTCTGAAGCGGAGCCTGCGAACTTAACCACTTGGAGACTCTCATCAAAGGTCACTCACTAATTTAGTATCCATTGATAATTTCTAACTCCGGCAGTCCTATATTTATAGTTGGCAGTTTACTGTAAAAAGAGCTTTCCCTTCTCCCATTTATTTATACTGGTACAACTTTGGATTCTTACTTGGTTCAATGAATTATAATCTATCACAATCATTATTTCAATGCTCAAATTGTCCTAGATTGACCCAATAGGTGCCCCTTTGGCTGCAGCCCCTAGCTGCTGTGTCTTTTTTATATATACCCAATATTCTTTGAGCACTTCTTTACTTTCTGGTGCAACAAAATGGTCCAAGATGATCACCACAGCCTAGAATCAGCCTTTTTTCCATGGAGCCCTGGTTCATTTTAGTAGAGAATGGTATTCAGTAACCAAGATCTGGGCACTTGGTGTGCTTATCACTATTCATGTGTCATTTTTTTCTAGGCTGTCTCAGTGGACAGAGCCAGGAAATACATGTATGTTTATACATTGTGTGTGTGCATACATTTATTTCTCTATCCATACACATTAAAAACCATGAATTCATGTTGATATCCCATTGGAAGATTTTGCAGAGAGAAATGACAAGATCTGATTTATTTTTTAAAAGGATTACTTTGCCCAATGTGTTGAGAGTAGATTGTAAGGGAACAAGGAATGAGAGCAGAAGCAAGGAAATAATTTAAGGGCTATTGCAATAATCTGGGTGAAAGATGAGGGTGGCTTGGACCAGGGCGTAGTGGTGAAGCAGAGACAAGAAGTAAAATTTTTTACATATTTTAAGTAAGAAATTGCTGACTGGTGTGCAGCGGGTGAGAGACAGAGAAGAATCAGGGGTGACCCTAAGGTTTTTAGTCTGACCAACTGAAGAAACGGAATTTCCATTTACTGAGCTGGAAAGACTACAGGGAAGCAGGTTTTGGGGAGATGAGCAGGAGTTTGGTCTGGACATTTTAAGTATGTGATTGCCTATTAGATATCCAAGTGGAAATGACAAGTAGGCAAAAGGATATATACGTCTGTAATTCAGGGAAGAACTCTGGTACTACAGATGGAAATTTTGGATGTATTGATGTATTATTGATATTTAAAGCCCTGAGACTGGAGATCACTAACGGAGTGAGTACAGATAGAGAACAGGTTGGAAAATTGAGCTCTGGAAACATTCCTACATTTGAAATCCACAAGATAATGAACCAGCAAAGGAGTCTGTAAATGAACTGCTAATGATGTCGAGGGCACATCAGAAGAGTGTGGTGTCCTAGAAGGCAAGTGAAGACAGTGTTTCTAAGAGGAGAGAGTAAGCCTCTGTGTCAACTGCTGCTAAGCAGAGATCAATGTGATTTAGCAAGGTGATGGTCATTTGATAACCTTAACAAGAGCAGCTTTGATGAATGAGGAGTGAGCTCCTGATTCAAGAGGGTTCAGAGGAGAATGGGAAGATAGAATTGGAGACAGTGGATATAAGAAAACTTGTTTTCCTGAGGAAGGGAACAGAGAAATGGAGTGGTAGCCAGAGGAGGTGTGTGGGATCAGGATAGCTTTTGTTGTCTTGCTTGTTCTAAACTGGAATACATTTCAGTATGTTTGTAGGCTGATGGGAATAATCCAGTTAGAGAGGAAAAATCTGATGGTATAGGAAAGAGAGCAAATGTCCTTGAGCCCTTGTGGGCCAGAGGGAATGGGAGATCTACTAAGTGTAGGGGCTGACCTTAGATGAAAGGGTTCATCTAAAGTAATGGGGGAAGGAAGAGTATGTGGACACAGGTAGGTACGTAGGTGCGATTGCGTGTATCGATGGGGGAACCTCTTCGGAATGCCTTATTTTCTGAGTGAAATAGGAAGTAAAGCTGAGGGAGGATGAAGGGATTCGTAGTTCGAGGTGAAAGGCTGAATGAAATAGTCGTATAGGAGAGCTGCATGGTGAATGGATTAGGGAAAAGTAACATGATTGTTGATAGCACTGAGGAACCAACTGAGTTTGGTGGACTTAGGTGTTCAAATCGGCCGTTAAAAGGCTTTTGCAGGAGCCAACCTTCGGAGGAGGCAGAAGTCTGAGGCCCGCAAGAGGGCGCTCGCGGCCTGATCCCAGGTGGCTGAGTCCCTGAGAATCTCAGAATAAACGGCGAGATCTTTTCCAAGGAAAGAAAGCACTAGAAAAACGAATTGCTTTCTCCTCCGCAGGGGGTAGTACCCAGTACCAAAAGTACGCTCGCTGTGAGCAGGATTCGAACCTGCGCGGGGAGACCCCATTGGATTTCGAGTCCAACGCCTTAACCACTCGGCCATCACAGCCGCGTGCGGCCCGGAGCCTGCGTAACTATAGCTGCCTATCAACAGGCCCGCCTCGCGCCGGCCCCGCCCTGCTGCCTTGAGATGTCTGTGCGCATGCGCCTCGGCTGAGCGGTGCTCGCCCCGGCTTCCCTGCGTCAGCCAGCCGCGGCTTTGCGGGAGCGGCAACTTTCCTAGTCTGCCTCCCTTCCCCGAGCTACGGTACGACCCCAACAAAATGAACCCAAATCCTAGTCCAGCGCCCGGTAACCTTGAAGGCGGCCAAAGGGATGCCCGGTTCACTCTGGTTCACGAAAGCGAAATGGGAGTCAGCCTCCGGCTGCATACTTAAAGTGCATGGGAACACATGCCCAAAGAGGGATATGGCTTGGTAAGAAGAATCACCTCTGCAAAGGTGCGGCAGAAAGGCCCTTTGGGGGTGCAGAAAGGCCTTCTTCTGGCAGCAATAATATACCACTCTCAAAGGGCCCAGGCACCGCTGGGATTCGAACCCAGGATCTCCTGTTTACTAGACAGGCGCTTTAACCAGCTAAGCCACGGCGCCGGCGGAAGCCACACCGCCTCTAGATGTAGATCAGCTGTTAGTGTGCTCCAGTGAGCGAGAAACACTTACAAAACGATGGCTGCAGCTGGTCCTTGGTGTCTCATCCCCTCCAATGTTCCCCCTTCCCTTCCCAGGATTTGAGTCCAAGGGTTAACGCTCTGCCCCTCCATTCCCCCACTCCTTCGGAGGCCAACTCGACCATGAACGGGTGCATGACTCCCCATCCCTTAGCCTCCTAGACTGATCTGCTGAAGGGCCCTCTCCTGCGTGGTGACAAAGAAGCTGAACACCCTCCATTGCTTCAGAGCACCACTGGCGTTACGTGGGCTTCCCCCCTCCCTCCGGCGCCCGTGGCCCACGTTGGAGCTTGCCCTTAACCACAAGTTGCCTCTCATCTCTCCTTCCCAGGACAAATCCAGCTGAGGTGATGTTAGAAGAAAGAGTAGAGTTTGGGTTCGGGGGAGATTTAGCGGGCTCAGCAAGGCCCTTCAGCTGGAAAGGGTGTGGGGGAGAATGGGGACTGGAGTTGCCAGGGGAGGCAATTGCCCACTCTCACTACAACCTTCCTGGAAGCTCGGCCACACCTTCCCACAAAGAGCTCCCCTCACCACCCCCAAACTTCATTCCACAAAGTTCTGGGTTTTTTTTCTCTTTGTATTAAAAAATAATAACAGACACAATATCAAAAACACAAATGCCATTGGTAGAGGGTACAGCTGAGAACACCTGGGTCCCACTTGAGGGGCAGCACCAGGGACTCCATGGTCCACCAACCTCCCCTACCCTGGAGCAGCTAGGGGTTTGGACCGCTGGGTCCTGCTTGGGCCTCAAGACCTCCTCCTCCCATCTGGAGAAGAGGTGGGAGAGAGGGCTGTCCCCTCCAATAAATAATTGCAGCCCCAACCCTCGGGGACCAGGGCCTGGGCTCAGCTGGGATTTGGAGAGACCACTTCAGCAGCTTGTCAGCAACTTTGTCCAGGGGAAGGAAGGACTCCTCACCGGGGTGGGAGGTGAGGCTTCTCTGGGCTGGGCTGAAGAGTTCCACCCTCTGTTCCCTAAAAAGCCAGAGGCAGCCCCTGGATCCTGGGCTGGTGATGGGGGTCCAGCCCCCTACAGCGGTAGAAGCTGGGGCAGTTTCCTATTGGTTGGTCCAGCCACATCTGAGTTCTGAGAGTTGGGACATGGGAGAAGGAAGCTTCTCATGCACTCCCAGATGTGGCCCCAAAATGTAGTCTAGCTGGTGCCATTTTCTGTGGCAGGTAAGGCTAGACTGGATGAGTTCCCACCTTGTTCCTCCTCCTCCATGGCCAGGTCCTGAGAGCTTGAGACCCTGGCCCCAGCTTGGGCTCGGGCCCCCTCTCCACCCTCGCCCTCGCCTCCATCGCCACCACCGCCACCACCCTCCTCCATGGGCTCCAGCCCTAGTCCATCCAGTTCCGAGAAGAGTGAGTCATCAGGGTGGCCAGGGTCTTGGGTGCTACTACCGCAGTCCACACAGGCCTTGGAGGGAGAAAGGGGATAAGTCAAGCAGGGTTCTCACTGCTGACCTGCCACCCCAGCTCCCCTTGTCCCCTAGCCCAAGATGTACTCCCAAGAAATACTAGTCCACTCGGGGCCAACAAGATGGGGAAATGCACTGTACCCTAAATCCAGACCCAACTGTGGGACATTCACAATGTATATTAGCATAGGATAGGCCCAGAAAAGGTTTACAAAGATTCATGTGGTTTAATACTACATGTGGGTTATAACCCAGCAGCAAACTTAGTGGAATTAACATTCTTCAAAATTAATGATCCAAAGACGAGGGGGTCAGCCCTTAGTCTCTATCCCTTCAACTTGAGCTCAATTCTTTCCTCTCCTTCCTGGCCCTGACTTCTCCTTCTCACCATCACATCCAGGGCCCGAGGCAGCTGGCCCTTCCGGACCCAGGAGTGCACAGCACCCAGTTCCCTCCGCTGGTCCTCCGAGAACCGAGGCTGCTGCTTCTGCATGGCCCGGAGCCGCTCCCGGTCCTGCTTCAACACAGAGGCCATGTCCCTGCCCAGGGAAGGGGTTCAGAAGGCAGAGGCTGGGAGCCGGGGCCAGGCCCCACAAGGTGCACATTATTCCTGTACCACAACTTCCCACCCACTGTCTCATGCTCCTCCCCTGAACCAGTGCTCTGAGAGGGCTTCCAAGACCAGAAAAGCTGCCCTCGGTATGGGAGGAACTAATGATGGGACTCCAACAGGCAGCAATTAGGACAGGAAGTTCCAGGGCAGAGCCAGCCTCAGAAAAAAAACCCCACAAAGTTAGCTGGGGAGTAACGGTGGGCCAGCCTCCCCAACCCTCTGAAAGGGAGGCAGAGGAGGCCTCAAACACCTCACCTGGAGGGCACCTGGTAAGTCATCATGACATGCTGGTCAGCATTGGCCATCAGCAGCCAGATGGGATCCTGGAGCACATACTTAATGACCTGGTCCCCAGGCTCAGCCCTGGCCTGGGCAGCCCCAGCCTCAGCCTCGGAAGAGTCGATGCTGCCGAAGTACTTGCTTGTGTGGCTGCTCTGACTACTGCCTGTGAAGAGGGTGGGGGCCAGCCAACGGAGTCAGGCCAGCCGGCACTCCCACCCCCAGGGCCTCACAAGCCTCCCGCAAGGCCACATGTCCAGTCCACTGGCCTTAGAAGCCGGGCATGGGCCCAGGCTGTTCAGCCAAGGTGGGGCCTGGCCTCCCAACTCCCTAGTCACTGTCCTACCCTGGGAAGTGTTGGAGGGTAGGCACTCACGTGTGATGCTGGCTGAGGTGCTGCCCCCCTCATGGGAGCCTGAACCAGACCCAGAGCCCAAGCCAGAGCCCAACGAGCCTGAGGCAGCAGAGCCTGTGCCAGAGCGAGAGTCCTCTTGCAGCAGCAACTCTAGCAGGTCACTGGAGCCAGAAAGCGCGTCCTGATTGGAGGACTCAGTTACCTCCACCTGGAGGATGGGGAGGAGGAAGGGGACGGGGAGGGATTAAGGGATCAACACCTAGGTCTCCCTTCAACTGCTTCCACTGGTGGGGGGGGCACACCCAACCCAAGTGGTCTCTGTTCCCACTCCGTGACTGTGGGGCCAGGATGAGAGAGAAGAGAGCTGACGAAGAGTAGGGATGTGACGCTGGACCCTTTCCAAGTGGCAGATGCGCTCTCAGAAGTTACTGGGATGTCCTCACCACCTGTCAGACAGACAGGACTGTCCCCACTTCACAGATGAGGCAGCCGATTCCTGCCTCCTTCAGAAATTCACCTGGGTTCTCCCACCCGACAATACCACCTTCTGGAGACTGAGACGCCAGGCAAGCGGAGGGCAGGAAGAAGCGCAAGGCGAAGGAGCAGCAAGGGGGAAGAGCGGCTGCACAGGGGCTGGTAAGAAGTTGCAGGGGGGGTCAGTGCTCACCAGTCTGGCCTCTGGTTCAGCGGCCTCCTCACTGGGAGGCGGGGGCCCAGCACTGCTCCCAGGACCCCCTGCAACAGCACCCCCCTCAACACGCAGGGGCTCCTCAAGCTGCAGCAGATTTAGCTGGAGTGGGGAGCTGCATCTCGAGTTGAATAGTGGAGAGTCTGGGCGGTGGGGAGGGCTGGGGGCCAGTGCAGGGAGGGACAGAGAAGGGGAGTAGGAGGCAGGGGTAGGAGGCCCCTCGACAGGGGTCTGGGGTACCCCATAGGGACAGCTGGATGGGGTAGGGAACAGATAGTTAGGGAGCACCAAGGCCACCATTGGGGTCACCAGGGGGGCAGGGAAAGCTGCAGGAGGCACTGATGTGGGGGCAGGAGGAAGAGGCTGGGGACTTCCTTGTGGGGAGAATACTGGGAGGGGGTAGGGCTGGACCACAGCTGGGAAGGGAGTAGTGGCTGGTGGTGGGGGCCAGGGGGCAGAGGGTGGCACAGGTGAGGGGTGGGATACATAGCAGGGGGCTTCAGCCCGGGGGGTCTGGTGGTGGCGTGAGCGCTTGGCTTTGGATCGGCAGTGGTGTCGGCGGCCGGGGGGTGTGGGGCCATGGTGGCAGCCTGTGGGAAGAGACTAGGGTTAGCGAGGGCCTCAGCCTGGGGGTTAGCACCCCTGCCACCCCCATTGCCATGCGGCTCTGACCAGGAAGAGGGCAGGTGAAGGCTCTAGAGAGTGTTTGGCTTCCAGACCCACACAGAACAGAGGGGACCCTGGGGAGTTGGGGGAACCTTCAGGGAAGAATCACAGAAGGCAGGGACAGGGGCATTTATTGAGAAAGGAGCTGGGGAAAGGAAAGGTTACATAAGGGGTCGAGCTGGGGGCGCAGAGAAGATAGAGGCACATTGGCAGATGGAAGGAGGCAGGGTGGGTCCATGGACGAATGGGCAGGCGCCTCTGGTTCATCCGCCAAAATTCCTGCAGGCACTGACAGCCTGGGAGCTCCTCCTGCCAGTCGAGGCTGCACTCTGCCTAGCTCCGATGGAGCAAAAAGGTGGGCAGGAAAGCCCCGTCCTGAGTCTTGCGTGCGCCTGCCGGGGGCCTCCCTCAGGCACCTGGAGGGCTGCCATCTGCCCTTGAAGCCCAGACCCCACCCGGAGTTATCTTTGCCCAGAGTGTCTACACAGATCTCTTGATCAGTGACAGCTGAGTCCTAAGTGGGCATACTTCCTGCCCTTACCCCCAAGCTGCGCCTGAAGTAGCTTACCTGAAGCAGAGCACCTCGGCCTCCTTGTCTCAGTGCCAGCCCCCCAGGCTGCCCTCCTCTGGCTATAGCCTGGAACCCCAGCCTAGTGGGGAGAGGCTAGCGATGGGCCTGTCCCTAGGGAGGGCCCGGGTGGTGGAGGCAGCACCAATCTGGGTCCCTGGAGCAGGAACATTTCCCTCAAGAACCCACCCTCCCCCCAACAGTCTGGTCCTAGACAGGGTAGAGGGCAGACTCAGGGAGGTCCCAGGTGACTACCTCGCTCGCCAGGGGCCGATGGGGCCAAGGAGCTGTCAAGTCCACGCAGCTTGCCGAGGTCACGGAAGCGGCTGAGGAAGGCTTGCTCCTCCTTCTGCGTGTGCAGGGACAGCACGGCCTTGGTCAGGCCCACCGGGCGGTAAGCATCTGGGGCTGGGTCAGGGGCTACCGTAGGGCTGGGGGCTGGGCTAGGAGCTGGGCCTGGAGCCAAGCCAGGCAGGTCCTCCATCATGATGATGTCTGAGGAAGGGGAGAGGGAGGAAAGGTGATCAGAATCACCTCATGAGTTAACATATCCACACCACACCCTCCCAATCCAACAGCTTAGCCAACCCCCAGCCTCTGCCTCACAATCAAGCCTGGACCCCATATGCATCTCCTGGCCACCTCCTCGCCCCCAAGGACAGGCCCTGGGCTGTCTTCTCCATACAAAGCTCTCCCAGGATGAGAAAGGATACTCAGCTCCTCCAGTGGCACTCCCTAGGATGACACCTCCATGACTCTGGATGGAAGGGAAGCCCACCCGTTTTCCTTCCTTCACACATTTTCCAGGTCGATGCCCAAAGACCCTTAGAGGGGTGTCAACATTCCTTGCCTTCAGACCCTCTGTGCTCAGCACCCCGGGGTTGAACTCCCCAAGCCAGACTTTGTGTGTGAACTAACAGTGAAAATACAGGAAGCAGCATGGGGAAAGCCAAAGCAGCAAAGGCTGGCGGGGGTGGAGAGCAAGAAGTGGCAGCCCCAAGATAGGAGGAAGGCCAGAGGAGGAGGGAAAAGGCAGGCGTCCGGGAGGACCAAGAGGCTGGGGGACCAAGTGGAGCCCGGGCACTGCCCCCTCGCTCCATGCCCATACCCGACTCCGGGGGCTTCTTGTCTCCCACATGGACGATTGTGGAGCTGAAGCTACACTGACTTGTGACGGATACTACGCTCTCCGCCTTATTGGCCAGGGCAAGTGGGCTCAGGGTGCCTCCCACCACCGGCTCCTTTTGCAGGGTGGCCCCCTCCCCAGACAGCACTGCTGATGGATCTGTGCAGAGAGAGGGCACCAGTTACCACCCCTGCCCCCACCCAGAGGTCAGGAGAGGAAATCCCGGGGGGGGGTGGGGCAGGGAGGGGACTGACGGTAAGGAGGAGCCTGGAGATCTGGAGGCTGGGAAGGGGACAGGGCAGAGCGAGGTGGGGGCCCCAAAGGCAGACGTGTAGAGACACAGGGTCAGTGGGCCAGGATGGGGCAGGAGCAGGGCATGGCCTGGGTCTTTACCTTTCTTGGCCCCCACAGAGAGTGGACCTGTCCTCTGCTTATCATCGTCAGAGGCTGAAGAGGTGGTGCAGGAAGAGGAGGAGGCACATTTACGCTTGGTGGTGCTGGGGATGTTGCAGCTCTCCAGGTACCTGGTGATGCACCAGAGGACATGACAGCAGGGCCAGGAGTTGGGCCAGGCCCGGGCCCAGGTGGGACAAAGCACCAGGCTGGCCTTACCTGAGGATGCTGTCCAGGCAGTTTATCTGCTGGTAGGAACAAGTGGAGGCTTCTTTCCTCTCATCCTCCTCAGGGATCAAGGCTAGTGGGGCCTGGATTGGAGCAGGAGCTGCCTCCAGGTCTGGGTCTGGGGACTGGTTTGGAAGGGTCTTAGCCTTGAATGTGCCTGTAGCTGGGCCGAGAAGAGAAAAAGGAGAGAAAAGCTCCTCTGGGCTGGGGGTGAAGATCAGAGGACTCCGAGGTCTCACCCCTCACCCACAGCTTTACCCACTTACCAGGGAGGCGGGGCCGGGGTGGAGGCCGGGCCCGGGACTCAATAAAAAGCTGCTGCCCCTGATGCTTCACCAGATGCACATCCTTACAGATCTGCTGGAAGGTCACCTGTGGGACAGAGCAGGGCAGTGGAGAGCATTGGGGGGGCCTCGCCAGTATCAGGCGCCCAGGGCCCAGTGCAACAAGAAGGTACCAGTGGGGAGGCATGGAGGCCACGATGAGAGCAGGACAAAAGGAAAAGGAGAGGGGCCCAGGCTGAGCTCCTGTCGGGCTGGCAATGCTGACTCCAAGAAGGACAGGTAAATGGGAGACTAGAGGGGTGAAGTGGGAGAGGGTCACTCACCGGGACAGGAGGCCCAGGCCCCTCAGCATCACCCCCGTTGCTATCACTGGAGGAGCCAGGGCTGAGGAGAGGGCCAGGGGAGGTCACAGGGCCGACTCCACAAAGCCCCGAGGGGCTGGGGCTGGGGCTGTGCACAGGCTGAGGCAGGAGAGGGACAGGTTAAGCGTCTACAGGCCTGCTCCCCACCCCTTCCTCTTCTCCCAAGTCCCCTCCCTTCAACTCTCACCTGTAAGAGCAGCCGGTGGATCTGCTCAGAGAGCTCCTGGATATCAGAGTCCAAGGACAGAGCTGGGCTGGGGGCCGGGGGAGTGAACACATCCTCATTCAGGGGCGCCCTGAGGGGTAGGGAAGGATGAGATGAGCCCTGCCCCTTCCCACACTGTCCCACCCTCTAACGCCAACTCCAGGGCATGACCCACTTACGTGCGTACTTTGTGGCGGCCCAACACAAAGGCCACCTTGCGGCTCCAGGGATGCACGAAGCCAGCCCAGCTGGTGTCCATGGTGACATACTCTCCATTACGGGCGCAGAAGCGGATAGGAGAGTGGTCAAAGGGCTGGCCAGCCAGCTGCAGGACTGAAGGGAGTGGGAAATGAGGTGAGAGTCAGCAGTAGGAAGAGCTAAGTAAGGCGGAGCGCCACCCCACTGGAGAGCCAGGAGACCAAGGCACCAAGAGAGACAACCACAAGAGAAGCCATTAAGAAGCCCTGCAGGCAGCTGGGAAGGGAGAGGAGGATGAGAGGACTTACTCTTCTTGTGGATGGCCAGCATGAGGGGTCGGTCCTCAGGATGCAGGAACAGGAGCACTGGGGCCCCCAGGAGGTCCTGGGGGAGGTAGCCGAGCAGTGGGGCAGCCCTGAAATGGGAAAAGGCATCAGAGTGGTCATGGCATCAGTCTCGGCCACCCCCTTTTCCTCCAGGTCCTGGCCTCACCTTTCATCCACATCCTGGAAGAGGCAACTGGGCGTGTGCCGTGTGGTGAAGATCCTCTTGTCAGGGGGGATCCGGGGAGCTGAGGCATAGAAAGTGTGGCTATTGGGTTTCATCCAGAATGTTCCAGCTCCTCAGCCCTCCATGCTGCCTGGGGCCTGGGCTGGCTGGCAGTCCTCCCCACTGCTCTGCCCTGGGCCCTCTGGCCTACAAAGATGGTCAGAACCATTCTTGCACCCCATACTGGTAATGAAACTGAAAACCAAGGCACTCTTCTTCGCCCTCTCCTAGCACAGGGCTCTTCTCCACCTCTACCTCGAAAGGCAGGCTCAAACCCTCATCCTTATAATACCTTCTCTGTCCCAAAATTCTGAGGAGATGAGTCATGCCCCCCAGACTCATGTCCTGCCTGACCCACAGCCTAGAGAGGGGGCCCGTCCTCCAACCCCCTGGCCTGCCCACCTTCGTAACCGGAGTGGATGCGCTCTGCAATGAGCAGGCAGCACGGCTGCGCGGGGGCCGCATCTGAGATCCGGATCTTGGTCACATATGGAGTTAGGCGGAATGGCTGGTACCGAGGCCCTAGATCCCAGTCAGGACCTCCTCTAGCAAGGAAGAGAGGGGCATTAGGGACTATCAGTGGAGGGTCACCCACCCCACACCTCAAGGTCACAGCCCACACAGCGAAGATGGGGGTTGTGTGGAAGGTGGGAGAGGTCTGCTCCCACTTCCCCCACCTACCTGATACGGCAGAAGACAGACTTTTCCTGGGTGAAGTCCTTGAGGCCTGAACCTGGGGAAGACCAGGAGGGTAGTGAGCACAGCCCCCTACCCACTTCCTGGGCTGAGAAGAACCCAGCAAGAAAAAGCTTGGGTACCCTGGCCTCTCACAGCAGGAGCTTTCTAGGACTGCTCATCCCTCCCCCCAAGCTCTTGGGGACCTCACCTGCCGAGGCCCCAGTGCCCCAGGTGGGCAGGCGAGATGGGGCAGTGGAACCATAGAAGACGCCCACATCCTGGGGAGCCAAGAGCTCTGAGAAGCGGGCACCCCGGAACACATCCCGCTTGCAGTGCAGCAGGATACCTGCCTGCTCCGAAATGTAGACGATGCGGCCTGTCAGGAAAGAGACAGCCACGGAGAAGGTATCCTAGGCAGGAAAGTGAGGACAAGAGCAGATTCAGGAGCTATGGGAGTGGGGAGGGGGGTGCATCAGAATGGAGAAGCTGAGCTGCGGCTGACCTGGTTGCGAAGCGTGTACTCGGACGTAATGTGCTCCAGCTCCTCCAGGCTGTAGGTGGACATGTCCATGGCACAAGCCTCACCCTCCTCCAGGCTCCACTGCTGGTAGTATTCCTGGTTGGCTGCAGAGCGAGGGCAGTGGGGCATTTAGCAAGGAGATTGCCCCACCATAGTAGCCCTGGACCTGGCCAATGCCCTCCCAGGAAGCACCACTCACCCTGAACCTGCTTGACACAAGCCAGTGCGTACTGTAGTGTGGCGAGGGTCCCAGAGCGGCCCTTGCCCCGGCGCTCTGGCGGCAGCCGAAGCTTGAGCTCCCGCAGCGCCATCATGAGTTCCTTCTGGGTTCTTGCTCGAGCTGACTGTTCACTGCTGCAAAGCCCACAGGGAAGGGGTATAGGATTAGCCCCAGAGCGTGGCCCAAGCCTCCAGCCCTCTCCCCTAGCCCTCACCCCATGAACCTGCAGCCACTGGTAGATGGGTTGTCCTGCTCCGAGCTGGCACTCAGGAGGCTGTAGGCAATGGAACTGCTGGGTGGGGATGGGCTCTGAGAATTTGTGCTAGGGGAGAAGCAACAGGCCCAAGATGAGGAAAGTGGCCAGCAGCATGGGCCTGTGTCCTAGCTCAGCCTGCTCACAAGACCACTCCCAGACCCTGCAACACACATCCATACACACCTCTTGCTGCTCTCAGTGGTCTCCAGCAGGGCTGAGTCCTTGCCATTGCCGGAGGAGGAGCTATGTGAGCTCCGCTGAGATGCACCCCTGGACTCGGGCCCGTTGGACTCATTGCCACTGGAGCCATTGCTGTTGGCATCCGTGTCATCAGCCAGGCTTGGGCCAGGGCAAGGCCGGTGGTGTGGAGGGCCAGGGGATGGGGCCTCTCCAGGACAAAAAGATTCCCCCGGCCTGGGGTCCCCTCCCCCATCAGCCCCTTCTAGGGAGCTACTCATGTCTGGGCCATGGGGAGGGCAGGAGAACAGGGAAGGTGGAGAGGCCACAATGGATGCACAAGGGGGCCAGGAGGCCTGGCTAGAGGAGTGAGGTGGGAGACCCAAGCCTCTGAAGATTGAGAAGTTTGATCACAGCCAGTACCTAGAGAGGGAGATCAGGATGGAGGGCTTGGAGAAAGCTGGGTGGTTAACTTCACAGTGCCTGTCGGCTTCGCTCAGACCCTCCCCTGCCTGCCCCCACGCTCCAGGGACCCAGGCTTCCAATAGGAGCCTAGGTAACTTGTCCTGTCCCCCTGGGGTGCTCCAGGTGGGAATGAGCCTCTCGTGGGCCTTGCCCCACATCCCCTACATGGTGGCCCGGGTAAGTGGAACCTGAGCAGTCGAGTAGAACTACGGCTGTGGGCCAAAGCCTGGACATTTCCCATCCTCGAATTCCCATCGAGCCCCTACTCTGCCTGGGACTCCCAGGCCTCTCAGCAGGGGATGAGCCTTTTTCCTCCTATATTTAGGCCTTCAGGCTAATTTTAACCGGGGGCGGCGCCACCCCCGCCGCACATGCGCACGGACGTGCGCGGTCCCAACACGCGCTTCCGCCGCCGCCGCGGTCGCCAGGGAAACCGACGTCAGCAGCTGAGCTCAGCGGTTGCTGGAGGGACCACAGGAGGGCGGGAGGGGCGACCCCTCCCCCATTTCCCGGCGGAAGTCCGGGAACGACCCACTCCCACGCTGGCGGGCGCGGCCAGAGGTCGCCCACCTCTAATATGTCCCCAGACCCCGGAGGGCCCGATGGCCGTATGAAGATGGGCGGCCCATCGGGGTTCCAGGGGCTGGCCTTGCTTCCCAGGGCAAAACACAACTGCCACCGCCCTCCGAGCAAAGGCCCCCACCCTGGCGTTCGCCTGGATCCCAGTCATTCTGGTTAAGACGACACAGCCTTTCCTTCTCCGGCCCCTGCACCCTCTCCAGATCCCCAGGGCTAAAACCAGCACCTGCCATCGTCAGGGACCCAGGAATCCTCTCGCCTCAGTCCTCTACTTTTTAGACAACCCCCTACGCAACCCCCATCCGAAGCAGACAGACGCAGCTCTGAGCAAGGGACGCACAACAGCCAGCCGACTGTTCTTCCCCTACTCCCCATCCAGCCACACCCCCAACACCGCGAGCATTTTCTGAGCGCCAGGAGAAAAGGGAAGGCTGTGGCCAACAGCAGGAACTAGCGCCGGGAACGGGATGTTCCAGCCCGAACCGGGCTGACATCACGGCCGGCGCGGGGCCAGGGACTGGAGGGGGAGCGCGGGGAGCGCGGAAAGCCTGAAGAGGTCCTGGTGCTGGGGAAAAACATGGGACCCCCAAGTGATAAGAAAGGCGACAGGGGGCATGCCTGCTGAGGGTCGAGTGTGGGGCCGCGACAGCTAGGAGCGGAGGGCAAAGCTGGAGGTAAGGTAAGCGGGTCAGGAGTGCGGACACCTGGTGCAGGTTTGCGAGAAACACCTAGGTCCCCAGGGGCAGAGAGGGGATGGACAGCGGCAAGGAAGGCGGATTTTATTGGTATGCCGCCTGAGCGCCTGGGCCGAAAGCGGCCCATCAGGCTGGAAGTGGCGGCGGTCCGGCTCGGGACCGGAGAGCTACCACCCGGGTGGCCTCGGAGATGCCTACCTGGCCGCGCGAGCGCCCTCCGGCCGCCTGTCCGCCGCCGTTGCAGCCAGCAACCGAGTGGAAGCTCCGCGGGGCCAGGAGGCGGGTTGCATAATGCCAGGCACTGCCCTTCATTGGCCTCCAGCCGGCGGAGCCGCAGGCCCCGCCCCCGATTGGCTGAGGCTCTCGTTCCGGCGCCTGATTGGCTACTGGCCCCCACTGAGGTCAGGGCTGTGTCACACACACCGGCGCACGTGGATCTGGGTGCTGGCGCTGGGCTGGAGGGCCCCAGACACCACCTCCCAGCCAATGGGTGCAGGACGCCTTGCACAGTGAATAATGGGAGGAAGGGAAGAGGAGGTAAGCTGCCTCTCTTTGGAGAAAATGCCTGGGCCACTGGAGGTGCTCAAGATGTCTACTTCCTGAACTGACCAGCCTTGCGGAACAGGACACCTTGGCCTTGCCAGGGGTAGGGAAAGGGAATGCAGACCCTGGAAGGTGAGCCAAGCTGGATGAGATGGCTCGTCCCTGAGGTGGGGTGGGGGGGTGGGGGACAGACAGAAACCTGGCTTGGCCTTTCCCGGGTGCTCCTCCCCGGCCTTGTCATCATAATAAAGCTGTTTTACCCAACCCCTTCCTCTGACACTTCAAATCTTGTGGACTGCCAGGAGGAGGGCAATTGAGGGTCCACGTGTGATGGGGCCGTGGAGTTGGCAGGGGAGGATGCAAACAATAGAAGGGGCAGCCAGAGCCAAGAGGGGCCATGAAGGGAAACAATGGCAGGTGCATCTGTGGCCAATGAGAGAAAAGGTCTCCGGGCAGCCTACGTGGTGACTAGTGCTTCTTCTCTCCTGAGGATGCAGCCACCCACAGTTAGGGCTGTCCCAAAAGTAGGGGCCAGGAAGCCAGGGCTACAGGGGAACAAAGGGAGAGGGCTGAGAGAAGAGACCAACCAGAACCCTAGACAGAGAAAGGTGAGGTGGCAAGGGCTTCAGATACCCACCACTAAGAAAAGAGAAAGCCAAGAACCACATCTGTCTCCTTCACTGTATTCCTCAGGCCCCAGGAGAGAACCTGACACATGGTAGGTGATCAATAAACTCCGTAATTTTGTTGTTAACAAGGATAAATAGGGGAGGGGAGGGGCTTCAGCAATGGAGAAGGGGCTGGAAATTATAATTTTTTAAAAGAGGTAGGGAGCAGAACACCGAGTCCTAATTTGGGGGAATAAAGTGCCAGGCTGGGCCGGGGAGAGCTCCAGCTGCGTCCAAGGCTGTAATAAGTAGTTCCTCTCAGGGCTCCCTGGAAACGTGGGTGGCAAGTGAAGAGGCCCCCAAGCTGCTGCCGACAAAGTCAGCTGGGAGTGCACTCCGCTTACTGTCACGTGGCCTAAGCTTTCCTTAACAACCGTGTTGGGGGGGGGGGTTGGGGGGGGGCAGGAGGAGGGTTCTGTGGAGAAGCTGGGACACAGGAATTTTATTATATAGCCCAGAAAAACCAAAGCAAGAAAACAAGAAACAAAGCATTCAGGAGCCTAGATTCTCAATCTCCTCTCCTTGAAAATGTCCCCGCAACTCATATACCGTGGCCCACTCCCTTGCCTCATTTTCAGACACCTCTTCTCCAGAAACATCCTTTTTTTCCTCCCCAGCTCTCGTCAGGGATTTAGGTGTGATCTCCCCTGACACAGGCAGTCCTTGCTCTCCCACCTCCACCTCCTTATTTATCTTTTGCTTGGACAAAAGAGTCCAGCGCTCCAGCAGCCCCCACTTGCTCTCAAGGCCCTGGTTGTCCTGTCTCATGGTCCCCACAGTAACCAGGCCCTGCTGCCGTCAATGGAGGAGCGGGGGCGGGAGATAGCAGTGACGTCAAAGCGGAGGAAGGGGGCGGGGCGAGGCAGCTGGGGAATGTGGAGCAGGGAGGCTGGAGAGGCAGCGGTTTGGGAGGCGGCCAGCCCGAGAGGGCGGCGGCCAGCGCACTTGGGAACATCATGTTCTCTTGGCTGGTGGCCCAGGACATGCACCCAGCCTGGGCGCCTCCTCCAACCCAACAGCAGCCGTCTGTCCCAAAGCCAGGGATTCCTGGAGAGAGGATTAGGAGGAAGGGGTCCCCTGCCCCAGCCCCCACGCCTGGCTCTCTTCTCAAGACTCGCATCTACCCTCCTCTCGGCTTGTTTCTACAGCTCCTGGCACTGGCTTTCCTCCTCTCCCAAACTGTATACATCTACTGGCTCATTCCCAAAGAACCAGGGTGCGGAAGTTGGAGGCCCAGGTTCTGTGAGAGAAAACACACCTTTGCTCTCTCAGAGGCCCCCTTCAGAGCCTGAATCTCTTGTTATTATGGCAGCAGAGACACGGAGGAGGGGCAGGGAGGAGAATGGGTCTAGGATGAGGAAATCGAACTGGGACAGAGCAAGTGGCCCAGCCTGGGTCCTGGATCCTGGGAGAGGGATAAAAGGGTGGAATGAGGATTTGGGGCTGGTGCATGAAGACAAGAAGTACCAGGAAGAGGGAAATGGAGAGAGAGTCACCAAAACTTGCAGAAAACCTTGAGAATGTGAGAATAGTTCCCAACCACAGCATTCACATAAATCTCTCACCCTGTCACTGTTGTTTTGTCATCCTAAAGCCATTATTTTTTAGCTAAAAAAATTTAAAAACATGACCCAGGCATTGTGCTAAGCACTTTACATATATTATCTTATTTAATCCCCAGAACAGCCCTGTGAGATGGGTATTATTATCCCCATTCCACAAGAACGAATGAAGGCTCAGCAGTTACTAAACTTGCCTAAATTGCCTCATAATAAGTTCTCAGGCTCTTAACAAATGAAGCCCCGGGTTTGAATCTGAGCTCTGATAATGGCTTATCATTCTGGCTTCTTACCCTTCAGGAAATTGTGAGGTGTTACCCAGCATTGGGGAACCTGGGCCTATCAAATATCCAGCTGATTCTAAGTTTGGTGCTTGGAACACAGACTCCAGCCAACCCCTCCTCTCCTTTGGGCCGGTTCTCAGACATTCAGTTTGCATCCCCCACATACTTCCAATCATCATAGCCCAGTTTTCACATGCTCACAAAATCCTTGACATCACCCTAGCAGCCACCAACCCCAGTGATTTCCTAGGAACGCCACCTCCTCACTCCTCCACCTTACCCCCAATTCACTTTACCACAGGCCTGGTTGTTTGTACAGACAGATACCAGAGCACCCCGTTGGTGCATCCTCACCTCTAGGGTCTCAGGAAGGCATGTGCACAGCCAATCTGCACAACCCCATCCTCCCTCTCAGGACTTAACAGTTTCTGCCCCACCTTTACTCCCAAGGACGGCTCCGAGGCCCAACCTCTCCCTTTTACACATGAGAAAGACATCCAGAGCCATGATGTGACTGGCTCAGGGTCACACAAATCATCTCACTACTGTTTCTCAAGTCACCATGTCAACCCTTTGATACCCTCCCACCTGCCCTGCCAGGGCCTCCCTCCAGCCTCAGAACCCCTGCCTCTTCCAAGTGCTTAAGGCACCTACGCAAACAGTAGCCATGCACTGGAACGTCCCCCAGCAACTCTCAGGGGTCCCGTCCCCGTATCTCCCTGGGAACAGAGGGTCTCAGGTCCTCAGGTCGCTGAGGACTTCCGAGCCCCTCCTCCCAGACAGTCAGGGGTCCAGGTGCCCTAGGGCGGTGAGGGATCTGATGTCACTGACCCCTGCCCACGTCCCTCTAGAGCTGAGTTCGCAATCCCTATTCCCCACAACCATCAGAACTCCCATCGCGGTGATCGTGCCTTCGCATGATTCCCTTCCCGCCCCCCATTAACACCCCTCCTAACAGAACACATCAACCCTGAAAAATCTATACCGACCGCTGCTCGTCTCCCCCTACCCCCGGGCACTCACCGTTCGGCGTGTACGCAGAGTCCAATTTCTTCCCAACCAGGACCACAGCGACTCTGACTCGCTCCCCCAGGCCCGCCCACCGGCCAAGTTGCCACGCCCCTCAAGCTTATTGGCCTAAGGGCGCCGACCCATGCCCCGCGCCGCGTGCGGCCGCCCGGCCCCCGCGCCACCACCATTGGCGTCACCGCCTGCCGTCATCTTCTCATTGGTCAGTTTACCAACCGGCAGTGACAGCTCCACGTGCGAGACAGACCGCCCCTGCGCGCTGATTGGAAGTCTGACAGAAAACACGCCCCATCCACTCCCGAAGTTCCTATTGGCTGTGGCAACATTCCCCGAGCTGCCTAGATCGGTGACGCAAGAGCCAGTCCAGCCCTCCAAGCTTTCTCATAGGCTGAGAGGTCTCGGAGCTGTAGAATACACGTGCCGGCGGTCTCACGCGGCAACTTGTTTACCTAGAAGCTGGGGACTTTCCTTGACGACACTGTTACCCAAGACTGCAGAGTGTGCGCAGGCGCATGAGTGTGACCTACACGCAGGCGCAGACATGAGCTGCGGCGGCGTTGGTGGGGGCGCTTTGTGGCAAGACCTGGGCGAGAAGTCTCGAGCGTGACAAGAGCGCCCCCCGCGCTAGGACTCCGGCCCTGGGTCTCTGAGGTTTCGCGAAGCTGCAAGATTCAAACGTTAGGGCGAAGCAGTCTTAAATGTCAGCGCCGCGTGATGATGATGGCGACAATGATAGCTGCCTCTTGATTGTTTTCTGTGGACCAGGCCAGGCGCTTCTTACAAACCCAGAGGCTGGCTCACTTACTACCTACCTCCTCACAAAAGAGACTGAGACCCAGAGAGGTAACATGATCTGTCCGGATTAACATGCTAATCAGCAACGGGGTCAAGATTTGAACCCAGGTCCCTGATACTATAAAGAAGGCGAGTTCTAGGGCCTACGGAACCCTAAACCTGTAAAGGACTTAGCAGATGAAGCGCGAAAAAGCCATGAGCAATGTCTAGAATATAGTAAGCCCTCAACGAATGGTGGACATTATAATATGTACCTAATTAGAAGAATCACCTGGGCCCCTTAGAAAATCTATTTTTAAAAGCATCCCTAGTAGTTCTTAGGAGCCGACAAGTTTGGGAAACACTATCTAACTATCTAGGTCTCTTACACTGCTGAATCTTCATGTTGCAGCCAGACATTGGCCTTCCACAGCTCACCTAGCACACTGCACTCGTTGTAGCACCTGGGGACAGGAATGCTAAGGTGCCACATCAGGGGCATCATGAGGCTAAGGGAGTTGAGTGTGGGATCTAGTCACCAGTTGGACAGCACAGGCAAGGGTAGCAGGCCATCTATGGCCAGCTCCACACCACACTCAGCTGGGTCTCCTTGAGCAGATTCGTTCAATAAGTACTTATTAATCCGTTCTGGATGCTGGCAGTGTGCTAGGCACCAAGGGGGAAGCGATGCTTTGAAAAAGTTAGCCACCTACTTCAGGCCTAGGAGTAAACGACCATGGGAGCGACTGCAGAAAATCTGGGAGTTAAATCAAAGGGTAGAAAGGAATCCAACAAACAGCAGAAGCATGCCCGCAAGCTAGAGAAGGTGGAGGG